AGGAAATGGTCTCCCGCATCCTCCGCACGGCACGCCAAGCCGGCAACATCACTTCCTGCGGAGGCCTCCGTGATGCAGAGGCAGATGACCTTCTCCCCGCTGAGGCACTCCCTGATGCATCGCGCTTGCAGATCTCGGTCGCCCGGAACTCCGAAGTTCACTACCGGAGGCAGGCCGATGCTCAAGCCCCCGAGCACCGCCCAAGAGATGCCGCCGCTGATGCGCGTGGTCTCCTTCGCAGTGCTGCTATCTACTTCTTTGTGCGTATCCCCCGCCTATCTGCATCTGTTCGGTGTATGTTTTGAATTGCTATCGAAAAGGTATGTTACAGTTATGTTGCTTTCCGCTTTTGTCCTCGCAAAGTTATGGGATGCGGCACACTCAACAAACAGAAAGCCTGCTCAAGGACGGGACAAGGCGCATCGATTACAATGAGCTCGTGGAAGTTGTCGTAATCCTCCGGTGCTGTGCAGTTCGTGTAATCCTTGGGCCAAGGCTTGCCCACGGCACAAGCCAGAATTCCCCGCTTGCCGCCTTCGGCGTAGGTCTGGTGCATGTACTCGTGGCACTTGTCTAAGTTGCCCTTCACCGCGCACTGCTCCCAGTCATCCAGCACCGGCTCCAAAACCTCCTCGCAGTAGTCCCGCACGTACTTCCGCCAAGCCGCATGCGTGGGCTTGTAGAACGGAGTGTTCAGGCCCTGGTACCAGGCGGGGTCGCCGAGGGGGACGGCATCACCGAAAGGAGGGAGGGCTGTCATGTTGGCGGTGCTCTATCACTCACCCAGTTGCGAAGAAGCGGAGGGCTTGGGCCAAAATTGCCAATTGGTAGCAAATTCATCCATTGCCAGTGCTACCTTTGACAAAGGGCAGGCAGGTCTCCACCGTAGTGCTCCCAAGTAACACCGCCCGGCTTTTCTCCACGGAATCTGTGCCGAGCAGAGGCTACCACATGGCTGTACAGCTGAATTGTGTCAACAGCCGAAAGCGGCCAGAATCACTATACAAGCTCCACGTCGAGGAGTCAAGATAGCTATTTACTATGTCTGCTTCCACGCCTTCACGACCGGCGTGCCGCAGAGTCAACTAGCAGATGCAGAAATGCCCTCTTCTTCTCAAAGCCTCGCTTGGCCCCCCGAGGACTTCTTCAGTCCCTCCAACTCTTCCTTGAGCCTGAGCACGTTTGATAATTCATGTGGGGTGTAGATCTGAGGCGGCTAATAATATTGTTTTGTGCTTGTTGCGGTCATTTCAGCATTTTAGACAGGCTTTACAGCTGTAGGGATTATGTAGGGCTGCTCGGATTTTTCATGTGGGTCTTATGCAACAACCATTCCCTCCAACTGGCACGGTTTCCTTGAAGCCGG